TTTCAGAGCTGATAATAACTGTCTAATATATTTTGGTTCACCTTCATTTGGTGGGTATATGTTTTTGAGTGTTATATCTTCCTGATGTATTGTCCTCTTTATCATAATGTGGTGTCATCTATGTCTCTTTTTACCTTTTTTATTTTAAAGTTTAATTCATCTGATATAAGTAAAGCTGTTCCTGCCTTCTTTTTTGGTCCATTTGCTTGTAGGATTATTTTCTAACCTTTTACTTTCAGTCTGTTTCTCCTTTGTGGTTAAATATGTTTCCTGGAGACAGCAGCAGGATGGATTTTTTTTTTTTAACACAGTGTGCTACTCTGTGTCTTTTTATTGATGAGTTTAATCCATTTACATTTGGAATTAATATTGATATGTTGGCATCTTTATTTGCCATTTTGTTTGTCTTTTTTTGTGATTTTATTCCCTGCTTTATTCTGTTCTTCTTGATCATTCCTCTGTTGGTTTTGGCTTTAGGACTTCTTGTAGAATTTTTTGGAGTGGGGGTTTAGATATAATGAATTTCTGGAGTTTGTTTGTCTGAGAAGGTCCATATTTTTTCTTCACAGACGAAGGATAACTTTGCAGGGTAAAGTATTCTTTGTTGGCATTTGCTGTCTTGAAGTTTGTTGATTATGTTACTCCATTCTCTTCTTGCCCATAGAGTTTCTTTGGAGAAGTCTGAGGTTAACTTGATTGATTTTCCCTTATAAGTTATCTATTTCTTCCCCCTTGCCAGTTTCATTGTTTTTTTCTTTGTCTTGGACTCTTGCAAGCTTTACTGTTATGTGTTTTGCTGTAGTTGTCTTTTCATTGTGGTAATTGTGTATTCTTCTTACTTCTTGTATGTCTATATTTGTCTTCTTTTTCATGCTTGCGAAGTTTTCTTCAATTATCTCCTTGAATACTTTCTCAATCATTTGTCTCTCTCCTCACCTTCTCTTATATTTCCTCTCTTCATGGATTCTAATAATTGTCTAAGGGTTTTCTCATTTTTCTTCCTTTGCATTTCTCTCTCTTTTTTCTCTTTAGTTTCTTTTTATTTCTGTATCTTCAAGAGTATGATCCATTCTTCCATTTCCTCGGTCCTGTTTTCAATGCTTTTCCTAGAGCTCTTTGTCTCCTCCAGTAATAGTTTAGTCTCCTCCTTTTCTTTTATTTCCTTTCTTAGGGTCTCATTTTCGTTCTTCAGTTCATTAATTATTTGTCCCATCTCATTATACTTTTTAATCATGATGATTATTAATTCTCTATCTGACAGGCAGAGAAATTCTTCCATGTCATTGTTGTTGAGTTCTGGTGACTGATTTTCTTTTTGTGTTGTGTACTTTTCCAGTAGCCTTGCTTGGTTATTTGTATTTTTCCTTCTCCCTGCTGTTTGCTTTCTTTTATTTATTTATTTATTTTTTTTATATACAAGAGCTGGGCCACAGGCCAGATGTGCGGGAGGGTAAGAGGATTCACCAGAGACAGAGTGGGAACAGAGCAGGCAGACTGATGAAATACACTGTTGAGGGGAGCAACAGGCAAGACAGGAGAGGTCTGCTCGCCATGTGGGTTGTTCCGACACCAGCAGGGATCAAACCGGGACTGCAGAGTCTGCAGACAGCTTCACAATGCTGTGCTCTACTGCCTGTGCCACCAGGGATGCCCTGCTTTCTAATTTGTTCTATGCATTGGGACTTTGTGCCACTGGTGTTGGTGGGCATCTCTTTGGATTGCTCCTTCAGGGGTGTCAGAAATTGTTTACCAAACTGAGACCAGCACTGGTAGGCCAAAACTCCACCAGGGTGTTGATGCTGTGGCTGTGTTGCTGGGCACTGTCTCTTACAGTTCCCTCCATATTTACTCAGTTCCAGCAGGGAATCAGTTAGTTGGTGATTTTGCTCTAGTCACTAGGTAGTGCTAGAGACCTGTACTTGCTGACCTGTGCTTTTTCCCTGTAGTTCTCTGAGAAATGGAGGGGGCAAGGGGAGCACCTCGACACAGGGGCTATTGCTCATGCTGGGTGCTGTGTCTGCCCAGTGTTCACCCGGTGCTGTGTCTGTGGCTGTGTGGATCCCCTGCCCTGAATTCTGCACTCTAGCTCTCAATCTCAGGGTCTCAGACCCAAAACAAATATGCAGTGCCCACTGTTATGGCATGTCACACACCCTGAATCCTGTGCCTAGCTCTCATTTCCAGAATGGGGTCTTATTCCACACCTCATTTCCCTTCTTACCCCGTTTGCATGGCCCACCCCCTCTCTGAGCCTGAGGGTGGTTTTGGAAACCCTGGCTTCCAACTATTAAGAAGTTGGTGATTTTGTTCTGATCACTAGGTGTGCCAGAGATCTTTCCTAGTATCCCTTCGGATCTGTGCTTTTTCACTGTGGGCTTCAGGGGAACTGAGTGGGGGTGGTGTGGAATGGCTCAATGGCGTGGAGGTGCTCTGTCTGCCCTGTGCTCCGCGTTGTGGGCATCCCACGCCCCGAATTTCGTGCCTCAGATCTCAGTTCTGAAACCCTCAGATCTGGGATGTGGGCAGTAGCCCAGTTCAGTGTCCACAGAAATGGCACCTTTTGCATCCCGCTTCCATGCCAGAGTGCCTGGTTTTTGATTACTCAATGAGGGTCATTCACCTCAGTGACAGTTCCCATGTGTCTCCACACAAACCTAGGTCGCAGGCATAGGGACCTGGGCAGCTGCTCCTCGATGCTTTTTGATTGTGCATGCTTTTCCACACAAGCTTACTGGCTGGCCTTGGGCTATTTGTAGGTCTCTCCAAGGAGTCCTTATCTTCCTCTAATGGTGCCTGGAGCCATTTGTTTGCTCACCTCTGTGGCTGTGGTGATTCCCGCATGGTTCTCCACAGTTCCCATTCTTAGGGTATGGTGCCTGCAATAGTTCCTTTCACTCACAGTCCCGTTTGATCTGTAGTTTGTTCTTGTTGTTTTATTCTTCTCCTTTCTGTTGGTCGGAGTGTGCTGCCTTTGTGGGTGGGGGGTAGCAGGATTCTGAGCTTTCCTCTCTTTTCATCCTCTTTTATGGCAACTTTCCTATTTGGGCAGTTTGCCAGAGTCACTCATTTATCTTGTGTCCTGGTTTTCACAGGGAACTGCCACTTTGCCTCCCTATTAACTTTTTTTAATGGGAGGACTTACTCACAGTGTTTCCCCATGGCCATGTTGATCTCTCTAAAAGCTATATATACCATATCTTAAACCATTCATCTGTTTTTGGACATTTAGGTTGTTTCCATATCTTGGCTATTGCAAACAGTAAGAAAAATTTTAGAGGTTTTTTTTTTTTTTTTTTGCTTGTTTGTTTTTTTTTTTTTAAGATTTATTTATTTATTTATGCAAGCACTGGGTACAGTCAGAAGTGTGGGAGGGTGAGAGAATTCACCAGAGGCAGAGCGGGGAACAGAACAGGTAGACTGACGAAGTACACTGCTGAGGGGAGCAGTGGGCACGGCAGTTGGGATCTGCATGCCATGTGGGACCCTCACTGGTGGCCGGGGATTGAACTGGTGCTGTAGAGGCTATGGGCAGCTTTGCAACCCAGTGCTCAACCACTGCGCCATCGGGGAGGCCCAGAAGTTTAATTATTAAAAAATGAATAAAATACTAAAAAAATAGGAAAGAAGAAACCCAGACCATAACCCCAGCCCTGAGGCTTTAAGCTATGTGTGTTATGGCCATTTCCATATCTCCAGGACTCAGTGTGTTGTCCTGTGCATACTAGAAATTCACTGAGAACTTGAGGAATGAGTTCATGGGTGAATATATGGGGTTAATGTTATAATAGGTAGAACTCACCTTTGTGGTAGAAGGAATGTTACATATAACAGTAACCATAAGCGAGGACCACTGGGGACATTCTGGTTTGCTTTTCCTTTTTTCTTCGTTGAGGTAACATTTGTTTACAACACTATACATGATTGAGGGGAATGTGTTCACACATTCAAATATATGTCACTACACCAATCCCTCCATCAAAGGACCCATAGTTCTTTACCCTAACCCACTGGGCCTCCACTCCCCTTTGTTCCCACCTCACCTTTCCTCCCTGTCTAGCAGCCTTTTGCCTACCCTGGTAGCTATTATATCTCCTTTGCTTTCAGTGCCCTCCCCGAACACGCCAGCCTTACTGCCTTCTTGCCCGCATTTTCCTGATCAATGAAAATTCTGTTGGCTGTGGTAGAACAGTGAATACCACTTTCCCAGCTTTGGGTAGATGCCTGCTATGTGTCAGCCACTAGCAGCACCTTGCTGGGCACTTGTTGAAGAGACATAGATAAATGAACATTTACTTTGTCTATACTTTGTATCTTTTGAATTTGCAATTCCACTCACATAATGTTGAGTGTGAAGTCACTTTCAAGTTCTTCAAGTCAATCCCCTTGCTATAATAATCAGAGTTCATATTTATGGACATCTTGCTGCTCCCAGACACTTCACATACTAACAGCCTTGTGAGATAGTTACCCTTGTTATCTATATTTCATGCACAAGATATTGGAACACAGAGATATTAGACAACTAGCTCAGGGTCATCCAGCTAGGAAACAGAGCCAGGATTCAAATCCCAGTTTGTCAGACTTCAAAACCTGCCCAAAGATAGGCAAGGACTCGCCAAAGGTCATTTTGCTGGAGCCTAGCACTTCTGGCTCTCATTTGTGTGCACACTTTGCTATGCCATGCTGCTATTTAGCCCACACTGTAGGGTACCTTCCAAGCATCATTTTCTTATTTAAAAGTGCATGTCTCCCTGGATGAACTGTGTATTCCTCCAGGGCAGAGATTACATTATTTCTGTGTTGCCACCTTCTTCAAGGGCTTGCCCAAGCTTTGCCTTCAGCAAATAATGACTTGTAATCAGCTTCTTAGCTGCTTCCTGGAGATTCGTGGCACAACACCCCAGTACTACTTGTGGCTTGGACGTGAAGAGTCAGGAAGTAGAATTTGAAGGAAGGAGTCGCCTCACCCCCTGCTTTCTGTTTTGTTCTCTGCAACACAGATTGAAGATGGAGGCAAGGCAGCCTTGTCCCAGAAGATGAGGACTGGTGACGAGCTGGTGAATATCAATGGCACTCCATTGTATGGCTCCCGCCAAGAGGCCCTCATCCTCATCAAAGGCTCTTTCCGGATCCTGAAGCTGATTGTCAGGAGGTAAGGTGCAGGGAGGCTCCCTACAAGGTACAGGGGACACTGAGACCACTTGGCTCATAGCCTCAATGATAAAGACTCAGGTCTTTATTAATATCAGAAAAAGAGGCATATCTTGTAAGAAGAATTTTGCAGAAACTAAAGCAGAATGGCATTAGAGAAAGAGCATTTGGTTCAAACATTGCCATTGCCACATACTACCCACATCACCCCTTGGATAAATTTATTCTTCCTCTGCAATTCTCAGTCTCCTTATTGGCTATTAGAGAACAAATGGACTTAATACACACCAAAGACCTACCTACTGCTAGCATTTTTCTCTCTCCTCCTTCATAAAAGGCTAGAGACTTAATGAGACCCTACAGCCAGTAATGCTAGTCACTCTGGTGGTTGTGGAAAAGGCTAAGAAAGAAAACCTGTCCTTGAGGAGTATACAGTCTAAGAGAGAAAGGACACATCTATGACAAATGAATTAGCTAGCTATGTGTTCTTTTAGAAATGTCAAATGAATTGCTCAGACAGAAATTTCTGTTAGAATTAAAGAGAGTTCTTCAGAAGAGATTGATGAGGTAAAACTGCACAGAGAAGTTGGAATTTGAGCTAAGCAGTGGGTAAAATTTGACAAATAAACCAACAGAAGGGGAAGGGCCTTCCAGGTAAGTGGAGTGACCTGTGCAGAAGGACTGTAAGGACATATTCGGGCACACTCTTTCTGCCACCAAAGCATCTACCTATTGGTGAACTTTCCATAGGGCCTTATCTTCTTTTTCCTGCTGCATGTTTGCTCTGAACTCTGGAGCCCTTTCTAACAGTATGTTTCCTTTATCCTATATACATGTCTTCATTTCTCCATTTCATTCTTATTAGAATATAAGTTGAAAATCATTTTCCCACAATCCTGCTTCTCCCTCTGGTTACTGCACTATCTTCTTTTGTTCATACTCTGTTCTCAAAACCAAAGTTTCTACACATTGCCTCCAATTCTTCACCTACCATTTAACTTTTCACAAGCTGCAGTTGAAATTTGACCCCCTAAATGCCACTGAAACTACTCTGTTCAAAGCTACACATGACCTCTCATTATTAAGACCAGTGGATTCTTTTCAGTCTTCATTATCTATGGTTTCTATGTGGCATTTGACATGGTTACTCTGAATAATGTCCTTCTTTGTGGATAAATCCCCTTTCTTACTCTCAATACCCAATTTCCTTGCTCTTTTCCTATTGCTCTGTTCAGTTTTTAAAACCAGGTTCCTTTAATACCTGCTGTCCCTTTGACCACCCTTTAAATGTTGGTCTTTCCTCTAGTTCCACCCTTTCTAACTTCATTCATATACTATGGAAAAATCTCACCCAGTCCCAGAACTTCAATTATAACCTACATAGGTGGATGATTATATCTCTATGTCCCAGACCCAAATGGTCCACTTCCAGTTGGACATTTGTATTTCGATGCCTCAAAAGTTTTTTAAGCATAACATGCTCAAAGCCTGACATGTCATTTTCTCCTCCCAAATTCCTTATCTCAGTGACTGGAACCAACATGTCGATTAAGTCACAAACACAGTAGCCATCTTAAAATGTTCCATTATTCTCATTTTCTACATCCAAATGATGTATCCTAAGAAGAGAATACTTAGTGGGAAAGAATTTTGAGTGAGTAAGGGTGAGGTTATATAGCATCATAGTGATTTATTATATTACCTGCTGGTACCGAAATTCAAGCCATGCCTATGCATGTACTCAGATAGGAGGTAACATGTTAAATAATGCCTTATATAATAGACACATTGTCATTGACTCAAGAGTGGATCAGTCATGATTTATATTTTAAATAAACCTTCTTGGCTGGGTAGCTTGGTGAATTTGGAAAAGTTACTGCTTTGTATATATATCGATCTATGTATGTTTCTTTCTAGTTCAGTCACATGGGAAATGATAGTTCCTATATAATGGAATTGTAGTGATGATTAAATGAGGCAGTTTCTGTAAAATGCCTTCACATAATGGGCTCTCAATGGATTTCAATCCCGTTCCTTTCCCTAGAGTATAAACAAAGCATAACTGGAGTAACCAGGCAGTTAAATAAGGAAAATATCACAATGGTAGTATACCTTGCAACATAATCTTCAGAGAGCATGATTTGCTGGGAAGCCCTTTGAATAGTGACAAAGATCTAAAGAGGAAATAAAAGCCCCTGTTAAATACTGGTTGTAAAGATACCGGCATCAAGAGACAGTGTAGACACCATCCAGGGTGACTTCTGAGCCAGTCATAATAAGAAAGAAGGTGTTTGGGTGTGTTACTTACTCATCCTCCTTTGGTCAACTGTATGCCTTCTTTCTCCCTACTGTTGCAAAATCTGTCACTATCAGTGCCTCAGGAGCGACTATAAATATGGCCTTAGATATAGTAGGTTTCCTTGGTGTGGTAGGTGCTATGGCACCCTGAACCTATACTGTCTACCCTATCAACCTCCCTCTCTCAGCCCCTATTGGAGGAGGTGGTCAATCACACAATTTATTAGGTAATGCTGCCCTCTTGTGGAAACCTTATCCTTCATATAAGTACTACCCTAGGGGTAGGATAGAACATGTATCCCTTCTGTCATTTTTTTCCAAGTGGTTCCATAAATTTATGAAATAACTCTTAGCACATAAAATAAATGTGATCTTGAACATTTACCCTGGTGTTTTATACTAAAATAGGACCTTTGTTTGAGTAAGCAATCAACTGAGAAAGATTCAACAACTTCAGGTCTGAGCTTACATTCTCAGAAAGAATATGAGAAGGAACTTTAAAAAATAGCCTATTATGAAAAGTTGTCCCAGTTATTTCTCCTATATTGTCTTTTAGATAACGGTCAACAAAGTCAGAAATCTAGATGTTACCCTCCACTCTTCTCTCTTGACACACCCCCTCCAATTCAAGCATTTCTAAGTCTTCATGATTCTATTAAACATCTGTCTGTAGCATTTGTCTTAATCCAGTCACTCATGATTTCTACCTAAACTATTGTAAAAGCCTTCTTAATGACTTCATCTTTCAGTCTCGCCTCCTTCCAACCAATCCATTATCCAAATAGGCATCTGATCATATCACTTATCTATTTGAAAAAGCAAAGAAACAATAACCATACAATCATGTTGGTACCAAGAGATTCATTTAATATTGATATAAGTTACAAACTATATTGAAGGTGTTGTATTTATTTTTCCTACAAAAAGGTATCCTGTTTGCATTATAAGAAGAAAAGTAGTTAGAAGATCAGAAAAACATAATTTGTCACATCAATTAGTAAATATCAAAGGCATATTTCATAGACAGTGATTACATCCCCTTTTTAAACATTCAGAGAAAGTATTTTTTTTAAAGATTCATTTATAAAAGAACTGGGGTACAAGTCGGTTGTGCAGGAGGGTGAGAGTATTTACCAGAGACAGAGCAGGTAACAGAACAGGCAGACTGATGAAATACACTGCTGAGGGGAGCAGCGGGCAAGACAGGAGAAGTCTACTTTGCCATGTGGGATTATTCTCACCAGCCGGCCAGGATCGAACCTGCGCTGCAGAGGCTGAGGACAGCTTCACAATGTGGCGCTCAACCTCCTGTGCCACCAGGGAGGGCCAGAGAAAGTATTTTTAAATGATCATATGGCATGCCACAAAGAAAACCTTTGTAGACACTTACAAGTAGAAATCACATTTGCCCTGTTCTCTGATGATACTGTCAGCCTTTTAACTGTTAAAGCAAAAACTAGACAAAAATCTTCAACATCTTGAATATTTCAGAACAGAAAGAGTAGATGATTAATAAAAAGGCACAAAAATGAGAGAATGACTTACCAAAACTTTGAGAGAAATATTCAGAAGTAAATTCATAACTTTAAATATTTCATTATTAAAGATGAAGAATGAAATTACATGACTAAGAATCCAATATGCTGTGAAGCCAAGGGGTACGTTTTTTTTTTTTTTTTTTTGTGGGGGGATGATTTAAGTAGATAAGCCTCTAGCAAATTTAATCAAGAAAACAAAGATAAATTATAAATAAAAATTGAATGATGGAGTATCACAACAAACATAAAGAAGATTTCATAAATTATAGAATATTACTATAATTATACCTTAATAAACTAGAAACTTCAGAGAAACTTTAAAGTCTGGAATAAAATATTCAATTTCAAACTTTTAGATCTGTAACTATAGATACAATGAAAATAATTATCAAAGAGAAACTTCCAAATACACTTTAGGGTCAGATGTTTTTATCAGTGAGTTACTTTAATGTTTTTAGGAATAACTAAGTTCAATTCTTTAACACTGTTATAGTTTAATCCTATGGCACTTGTTATAGTTCAATTCTATATCACTGTTAGAAAATTGAAAAGCTTGCAGTTATTCACATTGTTTTTGAAGCTAGCAACACTCTGATACCAACACCTGATAAACTGCTCTGAAAAAAAGAGAATATTCTATCCAATTTGTGAACTTAGATTAAAACCTGTAAATGAAATTCTATTAAATATAATTCAGCAATACTGGACAATAATAATTTATTGCAAATGTTAAAATATTTTTTTAAAAATATAAATCTATAACTCTCATAATTATATAAAATTAACATGTTAAATATTTTATTTAATTAATGAGGAAACTGGTGTCATAATCAGTTCAAAGGATAAGTCAATGAAACACAAATTTATCTTTAAACTAGCAATAGACTACAAAGTCAATTAGGATCTCTAAAGAGAAATATACCCCCATTCACAATAGTACCCGAACACATAAAATTCTTAGGAATGACCTTAAGAAGAAATATGCATGAGAGAAAGTAGATGTATGTGGTGGAAGTTACAAAACTGTACCAAAAGAGAAAATGGATGCAGGGCATTTTTGATAATGTGAGTCAAGTCTCAGGGCATTGTATTAAATGATAGAGTGGAAAAAATAAAGACAAAATTTAACGGACAGTGTATTCATGTCTTGGTGTAGGCATGCACT